AAGTCAGCTCTATATCCTCCCAAGAGAAGTTTGCGACAGACTTCAGAGCCTAATATTTATGCTAATTAAGAACAAGGCGAAGATAATGTATACAATGCCAAATGCAACTATAGCATACCAAAACATAGTGGGAATAAGGACAATTTGGCAGAACCAACTAGCACACCATATCACAGAACTAACTGTTAGGTTAAACAACAAGCAAGATTTAGGACAAGCTATGTGGCTAAGAATTATGTAAACATAGCTGAATCTCAAAAGCAGCAAATGCATCCTAAATCTTAGTTTATAGAGGATAGAGCAAATAAATATCAAAAACAATTTATGCTACAAAATAGTTAGAGAGCAAAAAGATTAAAAATCAGCATTAGATCACTAGAAATAGAAAGAAATTTAGAGATTATAGAAGGTGGAACAGAAATAGCAGGCATATTGAAAAAGAAGTATAGACCAAGAAAAAACAATGAATGTTTTTACACTTGAACAATTACTTAATAGAGAAGGAAACAAGCTGCTTATATAGGACCAGACTAAGAAACTCAGAGGTTGTAATAACAAGAAGAAAAAAACAAGATGGTTTCAGGAATTAGAGAAAATGGTGTTAGAAAGCAAAAATGACAGAAAAGTAAAAGCAGAATTTTATAAAGGTCCAGAAAATTACAAATCAATCAAAACAAAACTATGTAAGATAAGCAGCGATAAAAGAAGACAAGAGTGGATTATATACAAAGAAGAGAATAGAAATACTGAAGTTAGAAGAATATAAAGAAAAAAGAAGATAGAAGGTATGAGATAGAGCATTGGGACAGAGATAGTATACCTAGATCAGAGGAAATATTTCTAGACCCATACAAAGACTGCGCAGAAAGAAATAATGAGGAAGAGCTCAGTATTTGCTGAAACAACAAACAGTTCAAGGAAATAAGAAGAACTCTAGACAGCAGTTGAATCAAAAAGTGTAATGATGATGGCCAAACAAGATACAAAATAACAGTGCTATGGGAGAACTTAGCAAGAGTAAGAGAATCTCAAGTAGTAATAGAGACAAAAAAAGAGCAGAAAGACAAGTAACAGAAATAAGAATAGGGTTGATCATTGAAGAAATAACACGAAGCTATATAGACAGAGTAGAAGTAGTAGCAGAGCTAACAGCAATTTCAGAGAACATTATAAAGTACAAAACATTTGAAGTATATACTGATGGTTCACTACTAGAACTACAAGAAACGGCAAGTAAGATCAAGATGGGAGTAGGATGGATCCTACAAACGTAAGAAGAAAGACTATTAAAGAAAGTAGCAGAGTTTAACTGCGCTATAAAAGGCTGACCCTCATCAACAAGGGCAGAGCTAGGTGCAATCTTGACTGTGCTGTTAGTCTTGCCAGAAGAAACATCTATAAAGATATATACAGACAGTCAAGCAACAATTCAAGTAGTTCAAAAAATAGCAGAAATAAGAAAAATACGCAGTTACTTCCAAATGAAAAATGGAAATATTTTGGAACAAATAGAACATATAAGAGAAAGAAAACGATTAGATGTTGAACTGTACAAGGTGAAAGAATATAGCGGAATAGAAGAGAATGAAAAGGCAGATAAGTTAGCAAAAGAAGATGCATGATCGAACAAGATCATTGAAGTTTGGCTACCATGGACCAAGCTAATACATATTGTACCGAGGTGAAAAGGGTTAATAGTGGATAAGCCTATCAGAAGTTTTGTAAATTAGATCACAACAGCGATTTTAGATGCAGAATGGGTAGGATTAAGTAGAATGAAAAGATGAGTAGGGGAGGAAAGAGATGATAGTTTAGATTGGAGAGAAACATGGAAATATATAGAAGGGATAAAAGATAACAATTGTTTAGATAGTAAAATGAATGATAAATGGGCATTTAGAGTGAAATGTTTAAATGAAATACTACTAATAATAATGGAACTCAAGTCAAAAAAGCCTGACCTATACAAAACTAACAAGTATGTCACGTGCCAAGAAAACCCAGAAACAATAAACCATCTAACAAGCTGCAAAGACTATCAAGATATATGGAGCATAATAGAAGAAGAAACATGTGACAAAATAGAGAAAACTATAAAGAAAGAAGAATTTACCAAAAGAATACCAACTAGAGCTGCAATTAAAGAAAATATCTTTGATGCATCTAATACAGAATGAATAAAAGCAAGAAGTCACATAATTAGAGGTTTAATTAAGAAAGAGCAAAAACAAAGAGTAGAGAATATGCTCCAAAGTGGAAAAACAGCTAGCAAAATAATAGGTGTAGCACTTAATAAGTTGGGTGAGAGATTCTATCAGCACATTTGAAACTTTAGATGCGAGCTACAAATAGAATAGGAAAAAAGAGAAAGAATCTCGAAGAAGGATAAGAAGATGAAAAAGGCCAACAAGAAAAAGAAGAAAAGGAAAAAAGATGAGAAAAATAAAAAAAATCAAATACAAACAGAAGGACAAAAAAACAAGAAAAAAGAAGATGCAAGAGCAGTAGCATTCAAAAACATGAAAAACCTAGTATGAGATGATAAAAAACCAAATTGGTCTTCATGGGTAAGATATAAAGTTAAAACAGATTTAAATGGCAGTACTGACAAGGTGGGTAGTCACCAGCCTGTGACCGAAGGGATCAAATCCTTAGTGAGTTAAGGATCCAAAGGGAGGCCAAGGACTACTGAGGCAGGTTGCACCTGGGTGTAAGCCAAGGATGAGTCTCTAGTTTGGTTAAATTAGCAATAGCTACAGATAGAAATGTATAATTCTTGAATAGCTAATCTCAAATAAACAGAGGCAGGATTGCCGAATTAAAAAAAAAAGAGTTATTAAATACTTTTGCTAAAGTATTACCATATTTTCGCGGAATAACACTCATGAGCGTTATTTCGAAAATTGCGTCTCCTAAAAATAACATATATAGCTTATAATAAGGTGCTTATCGTATTTACAAAAAATGCTCCGGAACTAGGTTTATTTAGTATCAACCTAGCTCCGTATGCAAGATGTTCAAAATTTTTACATTTGTCTCAAAATAACGTCCATGCGCGTACTCAAAATAACGCGCAGATGAACGAAAATACGATATATAATTTCTATATACATTATATTTAAAACATGCGGTTACTACTTAATGGCGGCACTCTTAAAGAATAAGAAACAACTTGCGAAATTAAAAATTAACATAGCATAAATTATTAAAGATTGCACGAAAACATTTTTTATTAATAATTTATTATAAATCGAGAATTTTAAAATTTTACTAATGATTTTTACTATATGTCTTGCTCTAAGTTTGTAATGTGACATCCCAATAACTGAAGCAAGCGAAAGTTATTTGCTAATTACCAATTAAACCATTTGAAACCCGCTCGGCGTGGACATATATCATTTAACCAATAACCATCATTTGCTAAATCTATATATAGAGATAATTTATACATCGCATATGCGACGTTGTTGCCACATAAGATCAAATGTAATGTAAATAAAATAAACTGAATTTTTTCATATAGCTATGGTTAGGGTTAGGTTGGGTTAAGGTACAGGTGAATAGGAGATCTTATAATGAAATTTTGCAAGGAATTTTTTTTGTTAGAGCACAAAAGATGGTTTCATAGGCGATTTTTGTTAAAACGAACATTTGTTTTGATCGTGCTACGTTACACCTGATCTTGAATTTTTATTGGTCGATCATGTGAGGCGATACATCGCAGGGGCGATAAATAATTATACCCATCTATATAAATCTTACTTTTCTACAATATTCTTAAATAAAAATCCGGGTTCACCAGGAATCGCTAATTCGATTGCTCTTTTTTCTTCTTCCTCCTTTGCTTCATCCTCTCTTAAAACTTTTACATCAACATACCCTAGACTGCGCTGCAAGTATTCTTTAGACATCACGAGAGCATCATGCTCATTAAACAATAATGCTCTGTTAAACGCTACCGTGCCAAATTTTTCCACCCGCTTTTTGAACTCTTGAACGAATGGCATAGTCTTTTTATTCTTCAAAATTCCTTTTTCTGATAAATATTCTCTAATTTTAACATCATCAAACGATTTCGTGTCCTACATAACATGTTAAAATGAATAAACATGCAAAAAAAAAATTTCAACTCATCCTGAAAGATTGCAATTTAATACAAACCTCATTGAAATTCTGTTTTAACGCTTCAACAACAACATCTTGCCATTCCGGAAAACTCGTTGCAATAAATATTTTAAGTGTTTTAGGTTTGTTTGGGTCAAAATCTTCTGCTTTACCTTTCTTCTTTTTCTTTTGTGATGCAATTTCTAAATCACGTATTGATTTAATTATTTTTCGAACATATTCTGCTGCTTCAAGTAAACTTTCGTCGACTGAATGTGAAGGTTTCGGAAAAGGAGCATTAATGATAAAGCCTTTCTATTATTTCAACAATATACGTAATCAGTTAAAGATCAATTAGTAATAACGCAAATAACAATTGAATATACAATTAAATACCTTCGATAGAATTTCGCTCCAAATATATTCAGACCAATGTGGAGCAATTGGTGATAGTAATAATGCTTGTACTTCTATCCATCGCAAGATCAGATCTTTGTGCATTCCTTCGTTCGCTGTGGCTTCACGATACCAATCACGCGCAGTTTGAAGCTCATAAAATCCGTATTTAAGTGCATCACGATAAAAGGAGCTTTTATTATATCAAACGAATAAACGAATTATAATGATTAATTCAGTTACAATAATGTAAATGATTATGCTCAAGAATTTGTTTGCCTCACTTACTCTTCATAAGCTTTGTCAGTTTGTTGAATTAATTTGTTAATTTCATTCTCAAACGCACGGTCATGGAAACTATCTGTCGGGCCCATGCGAAGACTATCTTGATTTTTAACTTGTTCCTAGTAAGATAAATTGATTTATTTTTGTGAATTGCACGAATTGAAATGATTCTCAGCGTCGGAAATTTGTACAAACCTCGCACCATTCTTTCAGTGTAAATAACCTTAAAATTGCCGCATTAGCGGTGGATTCTTCAAAGTTGGCATCTTCAATTGAATCACCCGCATCTGCTAGAGTAAGTCTAGTAGCATCAGCACCATACTTCTCCACTGCTTCTGCAACGATCATAAAATTGCCACTACTTTTGCTCATCTTTTCCCCATTTATTTGCAAATGGCCATTTGATCTTACACCACGAGGCCAATTGCGTTCGGGAAAAATAGCAACATGATTATAAATAAAGAATGTTAAATGATTTGGAATCAGATCCTTTCCAGAAACTCTTAGATCTAAAGGATAAAAATATTTGAACTCCCGCTTCAATTTATCAAGTTTTTCCTGTGTGATTGAGGACGTTGTTGGGAATGGTCCATCACAAAATATATATTCCCAAACTTGATCTGTCATTTCTGAAGCCTGAATTCCAAGTGGTCCTGGCTTCGATCCATCAAGAGTACCACCTAATTCCACATGAAATCGACTTTAGAATAAAGCTATTGCATAATTAATCATCAAATATAATTATTATAAGTATACTACTTACCATGCAATAAATGTGTAACTGTATAATATGCCATATATATCGTGGAATCGGACAAACTTTCCACTAAATATTGAGGATCCCACGGTAATCTTGATCCAAGACCATAAGACCTAGCGCAAGCCCATTTATTTAACCAAGCAAGGGTTTGTTCGAATTGGTGCCTTGTCTCAGTTCCATATGTATTTAATTTTTTTAAACAGTTTTCGGCCTGCTTCCTCCATTCTTCTTCACCATAATCCAGATACCACTGGTCACATAATGCTACAACACATTCGTCACCAGATCGAGACATTACAAGACCTTCTGGTTCATTATATACAAATCCTTGGCCAGTGGAAACCAATAAATTTTTGACCAGAGGTTTCGCCTCTTGCACTTGTTTACCCTTGTAATCACCAACTAACATAATACCATTATAAAACCCTTCTTTATATACTATATCCTTGGCTTCAGCTAATTGTACTCGATCTTTTTGGGAATTAATCTTCTTTTGCTGACACACTGTTGGTGCCGCTAAATTACCATATGCCGGCGTATCTATAATAGGAACTGGATCGAAAGCTGCCCACGAAGGATCAATTTTATAATAATCAGGTTTCTTCTTGAGATCTTGAAGCGCTGTATAATCATCAGGAGAATCCGAAGGTACAGAGGTGACAACACCTGTACCCTTTGTAGCTAAAACATTCTCCATTGGCAAGATATAGACGTGTTCATATACACTTAATGGAGCTTTCACTTTAGTACCGATTAAAGCGGCACCTTTAATTTCAGCCAATTGATGAACTACGCCACGTTCGCTAGAAAAACCTTGAAATGCCATATTACGGGCAGCTCGATAAGTGCATAAAAATACGTCCGTCTCATTTATTTTATAAAGGCCATAAGTTAGGCCAGTTCCAACAAAACAATTTGTCTGACCATACCTTATGAACAATAAGGTGGAAAATATATGAAATAAAAATAAAAATTGAACCGTAATACCATAGATAAAAATCTTTTGACAAACTTACATTGTTTCAGGCCTCAAAGTAGCAGCGATGAAATATATATGTTTGTCTTTTAACTCCTCAATTGAACCTAAAACATTTTGAGCCTCTTTACTCCATTCTATAACTTGAAGTTTAATTCCAGTATATTCTTGTGGACCAACACCTTCACCACTTTGCCGATCATGATCCATGCAGGGTTGACCATCAAATGGTGAATAAATAGTATATCGTTCACCAAATTTCACCTTGTTAAGAGTCTTTAATTTTCTCATTTGCCACTGAACAAAAGAATCATAATATGGATTTACATCAGTGGTAAGAAAAGATCTACGCCAATCAATTTTAGCGCCAATAGATTTGCAATCATTCTAAAAAATAAAATAAAATAAAGAGTCCATGGAAAAAATAAATAAATGAATTAAAATAAATAGGACTCTAAAATAAACAAAAGTGAAAATTAATACTAACAATGGCTAATGGGGGGAAATAATAAAGCCAATGATTTGAGTCCGAGAAATTCGCAATCTCATTATAAGGCACGCCCATACTCTGCATTATTTGAAATTGATATTTCAGATCCGTCGACTTTGCAGCAACTTTGCCTTTTTTGCTAGACACTTTAGTTACAGTATTAGAAGGATCTTGTGATTTAATAGCATTGTCATCATTCAGTTCTAAATTTTTGACACTTTCTTCTAGATTATTTTGATCTGGTATTTTAAACTCAGGTCCAAACTGTTCGATTTCACGAGATAGTTTATCGGCACAAGCCTATATATACCGATTAATTGTTTCAGGTATTAACAGAAAATTCATTATTCCAAAAACAAACAAAATCGGAATATCTACCTTAATTGGCATACCAGTACAATGAAAACCTAAAGGAAATAAAGCTCTCTTTCCTTTCATTCGTTCATAGCCGGTGGCAAACTCAACTTTTGTAATGGTGAAAAGATGGCCTAAATGCAATCTTCCATTCATGTAGGGATATGGGAAAGTTCCCATATGTTTAGGATATTTTTCATGTAAAATAGAATCATCGGGCTCTTCCTCAGTTGTGGGTGCATTAATCTCAAACACATGTTCATTTTCCCATAATTGCTGAACTTTTTGTTCTATAGCCCGTAAGGTATCGCGCTTGACAGTCTATTTTTGGATATTCAAATAAAATGTGATAAGTTTAAAAATTATCGAGAAAAATAAAAAAAAATTAATATACTTTTTTAGGTTCTTCCACGGCTTTTGTTACAACAGTCGCCATGATAAAAAAAACTTACGTATTTAGCATTAAAATCGCCGTTTTTATCTGTGATGGATGATAATCATTATGTTTATATATAGAATTATATATAGTGAGTCACTCAAACTATTCAGATATCCGGATAATTCCGGATGGTTTGTATGACGACACCCCCGATGATCGACATCAATGCCGCAGCTGCCGTAGCATATAAAATAATTACGAACACGATCCTGTAGCGTCTATTTTTTGAACCTTCGAGCTTTAATAAATTCTTTTCTCTGCCATAATAATAGAATTTGACACAATTATATTTATATAATGTACTGCGATAGATATTTAAAAAAAAAAAAGACAGAACGGCTTTCTTTAAAGAACATGCCATATTAAACTACTCAAGTCTCTAGTTTTGCACAAGCCTGAGGTTGGTGAGTCAAGTCTTTTTTTTATATTCTTATTGCTTATGTATAGAGGTACCTCGTGTGAAATAATCTATTTGTGAGAATATAATAATTCTTACCTTCAATCTTGTGACAATAAACTTGGCTTTAATGAAATAAGAGCCTTTTGTAACATTCTACAATTTCTCACTAGATATTTATAGAATTTGGGATTAGAACTTTACCTGCATATTTTTTTTTTTTGAAAGGTTGAATCTGTTGGATCTTTATAAGAATTTACCTTGCTTTGATAAAATACATTGGTTAATACTTCTTTACAAAAATTCAACTCTGACTGCCTTGAATTTTGGATGAATTGGTCTGGATTTGAAAGTGGAAAGATTATTACCAAAGATAAAATGTATCTTTAAATCTTTATGATAATCAACTCAAAGGTGGAAAGTTATTATTGAAGAGATTTTAACCTTTGTTTCTGGAACTGTGAGATAACTTACAAAAAATTTTCTGATATATGAATTTAGCCAATTAAATAAAAGAATTAAGTGTAACATATATATATATATATATATTTTTTTTTTTTAACCTTTGCAATGTCGCGAGAAGGTGGATTTTTATTAGATATTTAGATAATACATTCTTGGTCACTCTGTCCTGTACCATCCACCACAATCATGCCATCTTATAACCTTGTGCTGCTTCATAACCAATAGCAGAAGTGTTCTCCGGCTGTTTTGTTCTTACTGGTTTTTCCGTAATGTTTTAACTATACTATGGTCTAAACTGAAGGTCACCCAGATTGACATCTGCTATACTACTTGTACCCTAATTCTATAGATAACCCAGTAGGATTCTCATACTACTGGGTTGTTCTAGAGAGGGTGTAGTACATATCCCTCTAATCTTTCTATGTTCTACGCACTTTCAGATTAGGCTATGAATACCTTCCGCAGCAGCCGAAACAACTACTAGCAGTCAGAGCGAATCATTAAACTGCACAATTCCAGTATCCGGTACTCTTGCAAGGTTCGTTCCGATCCTGATACCCACATCAAGCCGGCCCTTATACCGATCCTTCTCCAATTACCAAACCAGTTAGCCTAGATGGATTGTTGTATTTAGGCTTTAAGTGCTTTCCGGTTTTACTTCTCTTAGTTCCTAATTCTATAGCATAGGAACTTTTTCTTCAGTGCAACTCTGGCGGCTAGGTTGGTGGACCTTTCTTGCCCCAGGGTTTTAGTCTGATTCTTCGGTCTTCGGTTTCCAACTTTTCCGCAGTATCGTTGAAGATCTTCACTACCTCCTTACTCGGGTCTTGCCAAACAGGTTTCAATTATTCTGGTTCCTTAGATTTGGATCACCCAAGAGCTTCTATTTCAAGATGGTAATACCAAGATTATAGGTAATATACTTAACCGATCATTGAATAATTGTTACTGGAACACAGGCCTATTTTTCTAAAAATGTCTCTGGTGGGATTTAAACTCTAGACCTGTTGCTTGGGAGTGACAACTTAACCACTACTCTAAGTCACCACATCCTCATTAAGTGTAATATTAAAATTATATTTTTTTAAAAAATTGCTAATAACTTAAAATTTTGTTAATAAACCTGCTTTTTGTATTTTAACAAAAAAATTTTTTAAAAAATTTTGATATAAATTATGTTCTTTTTCAACTTTATTCTTAACCATAAAGAAGAAGCTTATTATTTTAATTGGTAATTCACCAGTTAATCAGAGAAGATTTGCAAATTTTTATAGTAAATTTTATTATAGGCTTAAATGTAGAGCACTTTTATCTAAAACTTTTTTCTTTACTAAGTAAATTACTCTTGGCCTTCTAATAAAAGTTGTAAATCTTATCAAGACACATTTAAATAATAATAAAATGTTAAAATCAACCTGATGATTCTTGAAAAATCTTTAAAAAACATTTCACTAATATAAAATTTTTTTAAAAAAAATTGATTTTTTTTAAAAAAATTTTATATGTCAATAAAATGTTTTTTAAAAATTATTCAAGAACTACCAGGCTAATTGTAATGTTTTTACTATTATTACAGTCAAAGCATATTTTTAATTTGATTATTGATGATCTGTATCTTATTTAGAAATGATCAACAGTCAGATGATTCTAGAGTCTTATTTTTTTTTTTTTTTTTCGGCATGTCCTGCCACTGTTTTATTAAGATGATAACCAAGTAAAATTACAAGAATTTAACTATAGCTAATCTTTCTTTAACTGCAACAAGTGACTCACTCGGCTAAAGC